TTGCCTGCTTGTAGGTAAGTGCACCCGTGTCATGCAATGCCTGCGGAGGTCAGAAGAGGCTGTCAGATCTCCTGGGACTGGAGTTACAGAAAGTTGTTAACTGCCATGTGGGTGCTGGGATTTGAACCCTGGTCTTCTGCAAGAACAACCAGTGTTCTTAACCACTGAGCCATCTCTCCAGCCCCTATACTTATATTTTAAAAGTGTAAGCAAAGCAAAAGTCTAAACTAAAAAGAGGTATTTCTCTATGTGGACTTGAACAGCTTTTTTCATGAACTACTTGTTAAAAACTTCAAGTAATTAACAAAGCATCTCAAAACATTTTTTGCATGTGTGTGTGTGGGGGGGTGCATGTGTGTTTGTATGTGTGTGCACATGTATGTGGAGACCTCAGGTTGACATTGGGTATCTTCCATGATTGCTATTTTATTGAGGTGAAGTCTTTCAGTTGAACCCAGAGCTCACATGTTGGCCACTCTAACTAGCCACCTTGCTCCAGAAATCCTGTCTCTGCCTCCCAAGTGTTAAGGTTACAGGTGGCCTGAATTGCTTGCCTGGCTTTTAAGTGGGTTCTTGGGATCCAAACTCCAGTCCTCACACTCTCACTGATTAAGAGAAGTAATATTCTTTTTTAAAAATTATTTTATTTCTTATTTTTATTTGATATGTATGAGTGTATTGCCTGCATGTATGTAAGTCCACCCATGTCATGCAATGCCTGCAGAGGTCAGAAGAGGGTGTCGGTTTCCCTGGAACTGGAGTGAGAACAATTGTCAGCCACCATGTGGGTGCTGGGAACCAAACCTGGGTCCTCTGCTAGAGCAGCCAGTGTTCTTAATTGTTATAGGTCAGAGTTTGCAAAAAAAAAAATCACCAGTACCACTTTAAGAAAAGTAGCAAGGTAAATTTTATTTTTCAACCGGCCGGGCTGTCTATCTCGGGAGTAGAAGCATCCCTGATGATTGTCAGGTCAGAGTTTTTATAGGATTACAGAAATATTATTCAAACAGGACACTTGTGAACCAATCAGGTTTGTACAACATAGCAGAACTTTGAATCTATTAATCAACAACCAATCATTATATAGACATACAGTGATACCAGTCATATAACTTGGAAATCAACTTTGTAATTTTAAAATTAGTCAACTTCCTAGCCATAACAAGTATAGTAAGAAAGCTGGAATCAGCAGTTACCGGTGGTCAGACAATAACAGGGTGGTCTTATACTTTGTGTCAAGGTGACCTAAAATAGCAAGCGAGTTACAGAAGCGAAAACAAGCAGTCAGCCAGATGTAGCATGTCTGAGATTAGCACATTCTACTGGTTTTATGATTGAGCTATTTCTTAGAATTCAAGGCTGTCATCTCTTTTTAAATATTTTCCATAACTGAAAAGAGGTTACTGTTAAATAGCTATTCTGAGCAAGATGGAGTAACTTAGGTTAAGTTGCTAATATAGTTCATTAATCACTGAGCCATCTCTCCAGCCCCTGAAGTTATATTCTTATAACCAAACTGTATTCTTATATAATGTCCTTTTAAACTTAGGCCATTTGAAGTTTCTCCTTGTTTTACTTACTAGGTAGATATCTTAAAATACAACTCTGTGATGTTTTGGTACCCAGGGATGTTTTATTGCTCTGTCTCTGTGATGTGTTCACTACTAGGAGATACTTTGTTACTCTGTAATACCTTGAAGCTCTGTGATGCTTTCCACTCACCATGTCTAATATTCTATTTATTTATTTATTTTTTATGTGTATGAGTGTATTGCATGCATGTATGTAAGTGCACCTGTGTCTTGCAATGCCCATGAAGGTCAGAAGCTCTAGGGCATTGGATCCCCTGGGACAGGAATTATGAACAGTTGTTAGCTGGAAACTGAATCTGGGTCCTCTACAAGAGCCAGTGCTCTTAACAGCTGAGCCATCTCTCCAACCCCATGGCTTTGAACTCTTGATTTTTCTGCACCTACTTTTCAAGGGCCTGCCACCACATCTAGCCTTGTATTTTATTTTTAGTTTTGAAACAAGGTCTCATTGGATAATCCATACTGGTTTTGGATTCATGGTTTCCTGATCTCAGCCTCCTGAGTGATGGGATTACACATGTGTACCTTCATAGCAGGGTAGAAGATTGTACCTCTTAATATAAGCACCTAAAACTGTATTTGACATCCATGAATATACTAATCTCTCTATATGTGTGATATGATGCTATCTTAGGATGCTAAAACTGTTACTGTTACTAATATCACCCAATCTTAATGTGGCACAGCATTTTGTGGCACATTTCTGCAGGGTATCTGCTTAATGTATGCAAATACTGCTCTCTGGGCTGTTTAGGAAGGTCCTGAGGGGAAGAGAGTTTCTCTGTGCCCCAGGCCCAAGAAATACCTGAGGACTAACAACTTCTCTCTCCTTCAGTCCCTGCTGTTTTTTGCAGGCTCAGATCCCTGATGACTCAAACCCCCGTCTACCTTGGCAAGGCCACAATGTACGGAGGATTATCTTTTAGGAATTTGCTCCTGGTGGTGCAATTGGGTGAGTATTCAGACTTGGGGTCCAGCAGCAGATGGTATGGGAGGTGAGGCAGATGGGAAGATGCAAGGGGGAGGGGCTCAGAGGGAGACAGCTTGATCTTCTTCTTTTCTACCCAGCACAACTCCCAGCTGTCACTCAAGGAAAGACAGTGGTAATAGGTAAAGCTGGGGATTCAGTGGAACTGCCCTGCAAAGCTTCACAGAGCAGAAGCATGCCCTTCAGCTGGAAATATACTGACAACACAAAGATTTTGGAAAGTCAGAGTACCTTCGTGGCTAAAGGTAGGATTCCCTATCACACTCTAGCCCAGGGAGGAAAACAGTGAAGTGAACATGCTTGCTGTCAGACACCTGCTCTGGAAAGCTCTATGATCCTCAAAGCCTACCCTGACAAAAAAATCAGTGGCCTTCTTTCCTGGAATTTCTTTTGTCCAACAACTGATGGTAAATGGTTTCTGGTTGGCTACTAATTTTACTATGTTAATATTCATGGCTTTAATGAACATTAGAAAAAATGGTCAAAGAAGAAAAAAGAAAAGAAAAAATGGTCACATAAAATACATGATTTCAGCAGGTGTGGTGGCACACGCCTTTAATCCCAGCACTCTGGAGGCAGAGGCAGGTGGATCTCTGTGAGTTCAAGGCCAGCCTGGTCTACATAGTGAGTTCCAGGGCAGCTGGGGCTACAGGGAAACCCTGTCTCAAAAAGGCCAAAAAAAAAAAAATCCATGATTTCAAGAATATTTGTTCAGGGGCTGGAGAGACGGCTTGGTGGTTAAGGGCATGGCTGCTCTTGCAGAGGACCAGGTTCAGTTTCCCGCACCCACATGGCAGCTAACAACTGTTTCCAACTCCAGTTCCAGGGGATCTGAGGCTCTCTTCTGTCCTCTGCAGACATTGCATACATGTGGTACATTTACATACATGCAGATAAAACACTCATGCACATAGAATAAAAATAAAATTTTTTAAAAATTTTAGGGGGCTGGAGA